AATGAGATGTATTGCTGCGTAAGTATCTGTGGGGGATTATTGAGATTAGGCTGTGTAGGTATATGTGGAAGAATACGTGGGGGATTAATGAGATGTATTGCTGCGTAAGTATATGTGGGGGATCATTGAGATTAGGCTGTGTAGGTATATGTGGAAGAATACGTGGGGGATTAATATTTGATATTTTTGGGGGATGTATTGCTGTGTAGGTATATATGTGGGGGATTAATGAGATGTAGATGTGTATATGGCGGTGGAGTTAACTAGCCGCCCAACCATCCGGGTACTGTCGCACTTATAAAGCAAAAGAACAAAAGGCTTGGCTGTGAGCCAATGAGAAAGCACTGACGTCATAGCCAAACTGGACAAACGAGTTTCTGGATTTGATTATTCAAAATGGCGAACTTACTTTAATTCAAGGCTATAATATGCTAATTTGCCAAACATTCTTTATATGCACGCTTATGTTCTGTAAGGGCTGTGTAATTTATGCTATACATACAGTTATATAATATACGCGTTCTTGAGTTACAGTAGCCGGATTAAGCCTTGATTGATGATGTTCGTTGTAAGGTTCTCTCTGTCATCTAATATTACACGTTGCAGCGAAAGGGTAGTTCAAATTCGTCGACAATGTGATGATGATTGATGACGATGGCCTTTAAGTGATTGATGACTATAATCGTCATCAATGATGTCTCGTACTCAGATCCCCACTCTATTTGTTTCCGCGAAGGGCGTTCTGGGTAAATTTCAACATGGCGGTCTTACCTAAAAGCAGGTGTTGTCGGTATGATTTTAATCACAATTTAAAATTGCTCATTTAGCTCACTTTAGATATGTTGAAAGCCAATGGAAAGCATCTTGGAATGGCGAGGAGATGTATACCAAGTCCTAGCTTGTTGTGGAATGTTTATTTTCCTTTCCTGGGTGTTGACAAAGCTCCTGGGTCTGACTTGGAAACGCGGTCTACGTGTTGGAGATCCACACAAGGGTCATCGTTGGTTTATGACTGAAATCCTTGATAAACCGACGTATTGTAACTTCTGTGAACGACCTCTAGTAAGAGGTGGATACTGTGAAAATTGCGGGATTTCAGTTCACGAAGAATGTATCGACGGGGCAACAGAGAGATTTGCTTGCAAAGTTCTGGTTCTGTCCAAGAGAAGCTACATGAACCATCAATGGGTGCGAGGAAACTTGCCTCTTTGTAGCACATGTAGCGTCTGCGGTTTTCATTGCGGTACCGAACCCAGATTATGTGATCTTAGATGCGTTTGGTGCCAGGATAAAACACACGATCATTGCCTTCGAAGTAAATCAAACATTTGTGACTTTGGAAAGTATAAAACCATGATTTTACCTCCACATTGTATAAGTCTTACCGTGGAAAGTTGGCGGAGCAAGAAACGATTTGTAGTTCGTGAAGTTGTGGTACCTCCCATAAAAAACTGGAGTCCATTGCTTGTGTTTGCTAATCGCAAGAGTGGAGATAATGAAGGAGAGAGATTATTAATGACGTTTAAAAGTATACTCAACCCAGTGCAGGTAAAAGTCAACATTAGTCCTAGTACGAAGTTTACAGAGCCATTCCACTTGACATCTCCCTGCCCCCGCCTGGCCCATGCCCCCCTTGCCCTGGCATTGACAAGGTAGATCTACATTTATTGCCTATTAATAAAAGCTCAAAGCGACAACACAGTGTTCCCTTGAGAAATAATCTGAGTTACCTTTACCCCCTCAAGAAAAAGCAGATCTACTTCCATGCACCCGTCCCCAAAGGAATATTCAAAAGAAAAAAAATGCCTACAGAGCAACCCCTCAGAAATGACAGTCCTGTCTGTCCAGTCCTGTCTCGCAACTATATCAAAATTTTTCCAAAAGCCAATTTACAGTATGAGCTGCAATTTATGGCAGTCCTAATTCAAAGAGTTATCTCCTAACTGCAGTAAAATTGTCTGTATACCTATTCCTCTTTTCCTCTTGCAAACTTAACATTGGATAATTTTCTGAATTATTCTGTCCTCAGGTGATAGATCTTCATGAGGTCCCCCCTGAATCTGCACTTGAGTTTTGTAAGCTTCTTCCAAACCACAGGACCCGTATTCTGGTCTGCGGAGGTGATGGCAGTGTTGGTTGGGTTCTTGGTGCCTTAGACAAAGTCAAATTAAAGGTCTGTTAAATTCTCATTTTTTAGAAATAGAATATTAGATAAAATAATATTCTGTGTTGAGTCTCTGGGACCTGTTCAGGAAACCTGTGATTGACTAACAGGTAATTTCTTGTGAGAGTTATGGAAATCATCAGCAGAGCTGCCTAGTTTTTAAGGATGTTGTCTTAGTGTACAATTGTACATGTGCACTAAATTCTCAATGCCACTTGAACAGCATGCAAAGAAATCCAGTTTTTGACCCTGCCCTTTAGGCAAGCGGTAACTATGATGCACTACCCTGAAATGTTTTCACTAGTTGACCCAAAACAATTTTCACTAGCCTGATTAATTAGATTATAATTATAGTCGTTTCATCTCTTACCATAAAATGTGTTATTCGAATTTTTTTAAGAATTTTCCTAACAAAGGAATGGAATCCTCTGGCTCGACTGCAAAATCAACCTCCTGACATGACTTTCTTTGCCCATTGCTTGTAATATATATGTCAATGAAAATAAATATGTGTCAGTTATATTTAATAAAGCAGGTGTAGTGTGACTATTTAAATTGTTGAAAAGCATGTTGAATTATTTTATGCTGATATCCAATCTTTTTGGAACAGCAAGTCACCTGGTATATCTGCTCTTAGCAGCTTACTTGAGATTTACCCGTAGCCAAGTCAAACTGAAAAGCAAGTTATATCTAGGTTAAAAAACCAACGTTTTATGAAATATAATCTTTTCAAACAATATTAAGATGTACTGTAGACAGTATGTAATATATCAAACATGAAAGACCATGTTTGACCACATTTTTAAACACAAAAGGGAGTTGAAAATACGATGTGTAGCGGAGTATTTTTGACGAACTTCGAGGTGTTTGGAAATGTGGTCAAACACTGTCTCGAGTGTTTGATATATCATCTCAACTGAAACAAACTAAATGGAGAAATAAGATTGCAAAAGTCTATGCTAATTAAGATTATATATCCAAACACCGTCACAGTCATGATTTCCTTTGTTTAAACTTGATGAATTATTAATGAGTTTTAGGAGCTTCGATCAAACCCTTTTGTGGGATTTGGTTTGTCATTAGTTGCCTCCATATATTGGCATACTTCCTCTGGGCACTGGTAATGACCTTGCACGGGTTCTTGGATGGGGCAGCGGCTACGCAGGTGAAGAAGATGTTAATGAAATACTGACATCTATCATGACTGCTAATGTGACTCCGCTGGACAGGTAAATATACTCCATCCATTCTTAGCAAAATGTAACTCTATGTTAAGATAAATCTAGAAAATGTTTACAAATTATTTTGTGAATTGGAGCCAAACAATAGTTCACATAAATTTATAATTTATTCCTATTATTCTAGCCATTGTTGTTCATCCACACTTCTGAACAAAATCAAGTCATTGTTTAATCCAATTCTGGCCCTCTCTCTCTGTCTGGGATGCAGCATGTTGGCAGAGAGACAGAGGGCATAGCCATTGTTGTTTCTTCAATATTCCAGGCGCATTTGTTTGTTTTTGAGCTCACCGGTAAAGGTTTGTTTGGGGGAAATGGCAATCAACAAATTTATAGCTGAAATTGTTATATTTTGAAATTAAAATTGACTGACCTCAATGCCTTGTTGTCCTTTCTATGGCTGGTTTGCAGTGTCACCCCATCAAAAAAAGAAATCATAACCATGCAATAAATTAAGTCAAGAAGCTGGGATATGAAAGATGATTGATATATAAACAACCTCACAAAGATTTAGGTCTGTGCAGTTTTTCATTCTTCTGTTATTCGGAGAAGTGTGTCACTCAAATTTATAGAGCTTTGTATGAAGTCGCCATGTTTGTGCCCCTCGGAGGGACACAAACATGGTGGCTGTGAAGTAACAGAAACATCTGTCATTGAGTTTTGCCATCAAAATGAAAAGTTATTACTCTGGAGCTCTGACACATTGAAATTAATACTTTTTCTAGAGCAACTACTGTTTAGTTAGCAAAAACTTCAGCAATAACTCATTTTTTGACCTACTCGAGAGCCCTATCGGGCCGCCATGTTAATGTCACACAATGCATAAACTTGGAAATTCAAACGTGTCCTATTTCAAAATGAGGAACCCTGTCGAGCTTAAACGCTGCAAAACGTCAAGTTATTAGAGGGTCTTACATCTGATGAAACTAAAACTTCAGAAGGATTGGTAATTTCTTATTTTGGAAAATGATGACGTCACATGAAAAGCCGCAATTGTCATCTCGCTTCTCAGCTCGATCCGAAGCCTTTTAAGTAAGTTATGGAGTTTATGGGTTTCCACTCCTAGTGTAGTAGTATACATGTACATGTCGTGTATGTCATGTTTTGCTGAACGTTGCATAAAAGTAATAAAAAGATAAACAAAAAATAACTCCTTGCATCATGAGCTTGGGCTGCCTGTGATTAAGAATGTTTCACTGGTCAGATGTTTTTCTCTCGCAGATGGAAAATAACCGTGGAGAGTAGCAGAAGATACTTTGATGTCAGAAGGCGTAAAAAGGTAGTGATTCTTGCGCATATCTATACAAAGTATATTGAAATTTTAAGAGTCCAAGACCTTGCACAAGGCCACACTGTTGTCTACAGTCAACTTCCCATTGGTGACCATCCAGGTTGGGTATTATGCAAGCGTCCTGTATGTAGGACAAGGGAGGACGGGTGGGAAGACAACTGCAATAAATGCTGTTTCAGCAGTAAAATATCGCACTGAAATTTGTCCTGATCATTGACAAAATGTTGATGACTTTGTTAAAATTAGTGTGCAATGTTCTCTCTGATTTTTGGCCATGAAATGTACTGATATGATATCCTAGTTTTCCAGAAGTGTTTTTACTTCAAGCCATTCCCAGTAATTAATTCCAGATGAAAATTTGCTTCCCTCCGCCCAACACCATAAAATTTTATATATTATGTTTTGTTTGTGTGTTACGAAGAGCTGGATTAATTTATAGTGTCAGATTAAGAGAGTTGTCTTTCTAGACACAGAAAGTGACAATTGGTAAAAAATACAAAATAATATTACTATCACATTTGGAATTCCTCAACACAGTTAGTAAGAGAAATTCAACTTTATCTGGAAAAGAGAGGTTTCTTTTCAGGCTTGAGCTAAATTGCCAAAAAACTAGAAATCAGTATTTTAACTGAGTAGGGGGAAAAAATCATATTTAATAAAGTTCTATATTTTTGCATGTTTTTTTAGGTGTTTTGGATGAATAATTATTTTTCAGTGGGCTGTGATGCCAAAGTGGTACTAAACTTTCACCTCCATCGGGAAAGTCAGCCTTCTCTGTTTACCAGCCGCATTATCAATAAGGTATACAGTATATTTAATTGTTGCATTTTCATTATGTTTCTTAGTGTTAAAATTTCGCTCACGCATTCTCAAGTTTGGAAGGTAGTTGCCATGTGGGAGAATTGAAAAATCTATTACATGTGTTATTTTCATGCCACTGTTGTTAGGCAAGTTGGATGTTTTTCAACTTGTCTCAAATATCTGGCAGTTTCCCACATCTTGTCTCAAATTTATATTCAAAACAAAAAGTGTCATGTCAGCTTTGACAACACTGTATATTTTATTTAGAAAACAGTCCCAAGAAAATAAGCGAGCTGATTGGTTAAAAATCACGTTTCTATAACTTGATGGAAACACAGAACTAGCATGAGCTGTTGACGTAATGATGGCGCGAGCCAAGAGGATTTACACTTTGATCATCAAAGTTAACAAGCTGTTTTCCTTTTTTTCATCACAGTGTTTTCTAAAAGAGATAGAAAAAGCTGTGGAAACACTCGCCTGCGGCTCGTGTGTCCACAGCATTTCTCATTCTCCCAAACTTTGACACGTGTTGCTATTAAACAATTAGATTATGACCTTGAGATTTCTATCATGTGATAGTTGACGAGGGCGCAGCCTGAGTCAGCTATCACGCATAGAAATCGAGAGCGAATAATCTAATTGTTTTAGCATAAATCTACTAGTCATTCAAAACTTCATCTAAATCCTCTTCACAGAAACTTCGAAAACGCCAAGAAGTGGCCATCGTTTTGTTAACAAGGGCACACTGCTAGGCTACTCACTATCTATCACAGAATAGATAGTGAGTAGCATAGCCAATCAGAGAATGGCATTTGTAATAGAACGCTAGATTTGTACTAAAACTTGATAGAAACACAGCACATGTTTTCTATTTCTTAAATATTATATAGTTTAAATTTTCTACAAATTCATTTGTATTGCATAATCTCAGGCCGTTTATGGATTGTATGGAGCCAGAGATGTTCTTGAGCAAGACTGCAAAGATCTTCATGAACTTGTTGAGGTAGGAGCCCAAGGGTTTTTTAAAAGCATTTTATTTGTTAATTTAGTTGTGGAATGTGTAATATTGGCTTAATAAGTTGTAATCCAGAATGACATTGTAAATCTTTAGATAACAAATATTTTTCCTGGCAGAATGGCAGCCTTTGCTCGGCCACATTGCAGTGAACTGAATAAGAATTGGAAATTGCACCATTTCTTATTTTTCGTGTTTTGAGTTTTACAACCCAGATAAAGTTTGTAAATTTATGTGAGTATTTATTACTCTGTCTAGGTTTTTGCCCGATAAAGTTAGTTTTATTCCCTGTGTTACTCATTCTTCATTTTTGGCAAATAAATGGTTGATTGGTCAGTTGGTTGTTGCATGGGCTTCACTAAAGTTTACAGCAGGAGGGCAACTGGTTTTCACAGGCAGGCAAAACTGTTTGATTTTAACTTCTTTGACGGAAAATCTTTCCTCTAGATGGTCAAACCAGGCAAGAAAAATTATTCTCACAGCCAGTCAGTTTGCCAGGCCCTTGATGATACCACTGTGATGATGATAATGATGATGATGATGATGACGATGACGATGACGATGACGATGACGATGACGATGACGATGACGATGACGATGACGATGACGATAATATTGTGGTAATGCATTCTCAATGACATGGATGTATGTTTGTTTTCTTCAGCTGGAAATGGATGGACGAAAAGTTGAATTACCGGAATTAGAGGGAATTGTCATTCTCAATATCAACAGTTGGTGTGGTGGCTGTGAGCTGTGGGTCAATGATGACCAGGAAACATCTTCACCACCAAGGTAAGTTTACTCACATATTGCAAAAACAGATAGGTAAAGGTGGCTGAAGTCTGCATACAAACCAAGTGGCCCGTCTGGCCGAAGCTTATCCCATTGTCTGTAGCATGAAGCAAGTAGGATTATTTGTACTCCCCCCTGGATGGGATGCTAGTCCATTGCAGGGTTACCCTTCAGCATTACATTTGCCAGTACCCCATTTATACATCTGGGTGGAGAGAGAGGCGCTGTGAGAGTACAGTGTCTTGCCCAAGAACACAGCGCAATGTCCTTAGCTAGGACTCGAACCAGGACTGCTCGATCTCTAGTCGAGCGTGCTAACCGTGAGGCCACCGCACCTCACCATAAATAACACATACTTCGTCACTGATTTCTGTCTCTTTTCCAGCCATTTTGTGGCTTATCACACAATGCTGAGGAGTAACATTGCATGGCGAATTAAACGTAGCACCTGTATAGTATATGAACAGCTTCTCTGTTTTCTCTTCACAGCATTAATGACGGAGTATTGGAAGTAGCCGGGCTTTACTCAGCACTGCACATTGCTAGACTGCAAGTTAATATGGCTGACCCACTCCGTCTCGGTCAAGCAAGGACTGTTAAAGTATGTGAATTGAGTGGCCTGCGATATCTTTGTGGTTTTGGTTCAAGTATGCTTTTCGCTGAGAAATTCAGTGTTTATTGAAAACCAATTTGACTGCAACTTCCTTTTTCCACAAATCATTGAAGTGACAATTCATAAGGCTGCAATTTGTCTCTTCTTTTCTCTGATCTCAACCGTTGTATTGTTGTTGTTTTTTTTGCCTACAGCTTACACTTAAGGACACCAGATCCCTCCCGGTTCAAGTAGATGGAGAGCCCTGGGAAGAAGGTCCTTGTGTGATCACAATAAGTCACCACAACCAAGCCCTAATGCTAGGCAAGGGGGAAAAACAGCTCCTCACTTGATTATTCCCTGTGCTCCTGGTTCAGGCTTAGAATTTCAAGTTCAAGGTGATGCCAAGAAAAATCCTTCAGCTGTACTAGCCGACTTATCAGGCATAATTTATTGCACCAATATACTGCAGCTAAATTCAAGAGATCAATGAATACTCGCGGATGCAATTTAAATGACCCATATAGCTTGCCAGGGTTGCTCAAAACAAGGTGGACCATACACACTCTAAAATACAGTAAATATTGTGTAAGGAACTAGAAGCTATGGTATTTAAGCAATAGACCACAAGTGTTTATGGTTTATAGGCTGGTAAACCACGCGGGATGTTGGAAGAACACTCGAAGAATTCGTAAATCACTCGCCTGCGGCTCGTGGTTTACGAATTCTTCGAGTGTTCTTCCAACATCCCAAGTGGTTTATCATGCCTCTAAACCATAGAAACTTGTGGTCTATTGCTTTTATATAATAATTCAGATGACACGTGAAATTTCCATGAGTTTACTGGCACAATAAACCATAGCTGATTGACCAATCAGAGCGCGCGCATTCATTTGATTATGATATAATGTAAATTAAGTCATATTTAATTGTGAAGAATAGCAAGGAAGTCTATAATTTTTATAGAAAAAGTAGCAAGGATAGCTAAGTGGGATGGAGTAGGAAAGAAGTGTTACTAAATTTTTGTTGAATGCGTCATTCGTACGCATGATAAAAACACAAACGCTGAGTCAACAAGTAAACATTAAATATAATTGCTGTGGCCGTCTCCCATCTCATTTTACAGATTTATTTCTCCCTTCTTACAAGACGTTAGATCTTGCTAAGTATCCATTACGCAATTGAAATAAACTGCGTTAAAAAGTAAAATTGATGTTTTTATACCTTAGCTGTTAGCGTGTGTGTTACTCAAAACGTCCATCGCGAACCTTCAAGCTCCAACAGTGATCTTTGTCCAATTTCTCCTTACTATTCGCACCAGTCCCTTAGTAAGGAGTATAAATAAGAACTCCGGATCTCATTTCAGGCCAGTTCGCGTAAGAATCCTTTGGCTTTTGGCAGCCGCAACAGGTTGTCTCTCTTTCTCGCTTGCTTCAACACGCTACTGCGCTTCTCTTTTCCCCTCCCTCCCTTTCCCCATCCTTTCACACTTCCAACTCACTCAAGCGCGGTCGTATTTCCCCGACTCTTATTCAGCGAGCGTGAAAGGGACTGTCGCGAATAGAATGCTATTAGTGGTGGAGTTAGATGAGGAGCCTACACCCATACTCCCCCTTTCGTTGGAAGAAGGTTAGCCTGCGTAGCAGCCGTTTCCTTTCCTTTTCCAGGCGGAGAGATCGAACTAGCGAGCGAGTAGGTGAGTGGGGAGGGGGTGAGCATTTTTTTTTTACGGTCGCAGCCCATCGCAGATGGATTTAGTACCCCATCCCCTGTACACTCGAAACTTCTGATCTAAGTACTAGCGAGAGATTGATAATCTCTTGCTACTGGCTACGTCCGTTTCATGGAGCTCATAAACCCTCTCATTTGAAACAGGTGATGTTGATTAATAAAGCCGTGGCCAGGCCCTGATGGGTTCACTGCGCTCGTTTGTTCGAGGACAAGAATGCGCCTTGGACTAGGCTGCAAAGTGTCAAAGCGACGCGAGAACGGAAAGCCTTTTCGCTGCTTGCGCCCCCATTGTTAATCTAGCGTTTACTTAACAGCGCTCTATAGAATTTAAAAAACCAACCGACTAGCATTTTCATTATTGCCAACAGCTGCCTTGATTTTTTTTCAATAGAAATGAAGTATGACAATTACCATGTCAAATTTTGTGGCAGCCTTAATTTAAGAAGTTGATCCTCTCTAAACAATATGTACCATTGACTGAAACAAAACTTTAATCTTTATGACTTTTTATTGATCGAACATACTGGTCCAATACTGCTGGAGAAAACAGAAATTACCAATAACTTAACCCGATAATTTTCGACAAGAAATGGATTAGATCATTTACGTGGAATCAGTGTTGTGTGATTCAGCGGCCGACTTGTGAAAAACCTCGATGTCCTGAAAGTCAGTTAAGGTTTGAGCCAATTTTAATCAATTTTTTGCCAGTGTGAAACTGAAGCTCGTTGACAACTATAAGTCGTCGCCATGTGGTCTACTGTCGTCGACTGTATGATTTCTTAGAAAAGATATTTTTCACACAAACCCCACAAGTACAGTGGCAGAACTTTTAACATGACTAATTGCAATCTTTTTAAATTAGAATTACACCAGTCATCCAGTAGTTATTATGTTAAGCTTTGGATTAGCAACTAAGACTGAGTTCATTAGTTCGATATTGAAGGCAAACAGTCGGTTAACATATAATGACCTTAAAACTTTGGCCAAGGCACCAAAAACACCCTCCGTTAGCCACACATATCATTCTGGCCCCAATTGTTGGAAGCCTGGATAACGCCATTCGACGGATAAATCGCTATCCAGTAAATAAGTGTTAACAAACCAAGCCATGCCATCCACTGGATAGTGATTATCCGCTGGATAGCGTTATCAACCTTTGAACAACTCGCGCCTGGGTTAAAAGATCTTACAAAAAGTAACTCACAAAACGTTTGACTTTATGATCAAAGTATACGTACACAAATACGGTATAACACTTTGTATGTTCTTCAGAGCTGTACATTAAAAACTTGCTGGACCGATAGTACTTCGCAGTCTACAAGATTATTTCCTAAAACTTTAGCGAAATTAAACGAGACGCGATTTTAAAGAAGACTGATAGCCATGCTGTGACGTCATACCTATTGGTAATCGTGACGTCACGTCATAGCGGTTTAAGATGGATTTCTAGTTTCCAGCAGTTTATTTCATTTTCAAATACGCTGTAATCTCACGGGAGTAGTGATTAAAATACTACTAGAGTAGCTATCGATGTTATTTGCGGACCTACGGTAGGCTTATCATATATGAGCGCCGTTTCTCCTGGTTTAATTTGTGTAGCATGACTGTGACTAGCAGTATCACTACTGCACCCGGATAGGATATTAGTTCATCCTAGGGTCGCCTTACGCGACAGCATGCTGTCAGGGAGCCGGAACCCTAACAATCTGCAGTCCTGGTTGTTGCATTGGGAGGCACTGTGACAGCAGTGTCTTGCAAAAAAACAAAAAAACAAAAACCAATAAGCCTGGCCAAGGCTCTCGACCCGGCCTGAGTCAAACCGCAATAACATTTTGCCACCGCGATCCCCATAAAAGGGCTATTAGGGCGTAGTTTTGATAACAGCTAGCATTTACAAGAGAACAATCCTCTAATTTTTTGAACAAATTGTTTCTCAATGTCTCTACTGTTATTCTCAGATATCAACTTTCTTACGAAAAAATTGTTCCGTTCCTGCAAACTTTGATTATAATTTTTTCGCCATTTAGAACTACTGCATGTTATCTGAGGACGATTTTGAAAAGTTTTATTTGAAAGTCATTTTTATTGGAAAAGCATTTGGCAAACATGGCAGCTTTTCAGGGTCTTTCATTACAAAATGAATGCATTCGCATTGAACGAAATTTCCAACAGCACAAAGATGATTACATTAAACCCTAGGGAGTTAAGTTGTTCATTTAAACGAAAACTGAAAAGAAAACAGTCGAAGACAATGCAAACAAAGAGAAGTAATGCAACCAGAACGCAAATGGTTCAATTAAGACATCTTAATAGATTCAGACATGTTTCAGTTGTCCAAATGAATTTGTCGCAGTGTGAGACATATCTTTAGCGATTCACTGCACTGTAGGACCCATCACCTTTATTGTTACACTGGGAACTATTTAGTTGAATCTTGTTTACAACACTAGAAAAGGGCGTCTTAAGCTACAGTAGGTACGTAAAATCTCATTCATTTTGCTTATTGTTCATAGTTTTATGTTCGTTTACGCACATTTACCTTGGTAAGCGTATAGCTGTACAGTTCTTGAACTCAAACTTTACGATAATAATTCGACTTGGCCAAACATAAATGGCCATGAGTAGCGCTAGCTTAGACGACGAGATCTCCTAGAGCGAGTTATAAGAAGTTAACTTGGTGCACGGCAAAATCAGAAAGCAGCGCCGCAATCAATAATTATTTTAAAATAGCTTTTTGCAGCTCTCTATAAAAGAAAGCATGCACAAATTGGTGCACTAGCTGTAGAAGATATCAACAGTGAATTTGACCTTGAATCCAATTAATAGATTTTCTTTAATTTAAAATATGTTTTCAACTGAGTCATTTCAATGACTTGAATTTGCAGGGGGCGTGACTAGCAAGTTAAAATCACATTTTTGTCAGTCTTTTTTTTTTTTTTTAAAGAAGTCTTATTATGATCCTTCAGGAGTTAACCGCTTGTACATACACGTACAAACATTTTAGACGAGCTGAATTTATAAAAACGAACTTGTTTTCTAAAGGGAACTGTATTAGTTCACAAGGTGATAATCACATACCTTTGAAGTCTATTTGAACTTTCACCAGATTCAATGACGCTAACATTTACATTTGTCAATGTCGGGTTTTGAAAAACCTCACCAGCTATATAAAATGATGGTAAACTTTTTCTACACGGTACACCGTTACTGTCAGCACGCTCTCCTTGTATCAATGTTTTTTTTTTTAATATCTGGTATATTTATGTATTTTGAGCACGCACTGGTTGATCTTGGTTTCTAGCTGGTCACATGTGCGAGCAGCGATACTAAATGTTTTTTACTTATGGCTGCTACACTCAGGGCACCAATTGGGG